CCCTCCCCCATTTCTATTCCTATGTTTAGTTAATGGGTCATGAAAGTTGTCAAGGGTGTAAAGAGAAGGGTGTACTGTGTCGTCAAGCTTTGTCTCAGAAAGTCCCAGTATGTCGATCTCGTGAAGAGAGGAAAAGTAGGATAGCTCGTCAAGTCGGCAGCGAGATGTGATGGAATTTATATTTACGTGTGATACGATGATGTGGTTGCTGTGGCTTCCGCTTGAAGATCTAGAATGTGTTGACGTGTCTGGTGTAGACGCCGCCGACCCAACTGAAGCAGCCCGGCACCCGGGACCTGGAGAAAGTGAAATGACGCTCAGCAGATGTCGGTGGCGCGGCGACGGGCGATAAACAGAACATTCACATAACAAAACAATCAAACAACAAGACCAAACAATGCATATAACAAAATAACTCAGATAGACGGTAAAATTAAACGATTTAAACTTACGGAAACTGACAAAAAAAAAAAACAAAAACAAAAAACAAATGGCAAAGCAGAACGTAGCAGAAAGAATAAACATGGATAAATACATCTGAACTCTACAACTATTTGCATTCACTACTGACACTTAAAAGAGTACCTTACGTCACACGAAAAGTTTAACAAACCCAAGCCGACGCCCCGACCCCCCCCCCCCCCACATCCCCATCCCCCAGCCGCCGCCCCGGAAGCCCGGTCGTAATCCCAGATCTAAACCGCCCCCCCGTCGCAACCAAACCCCAGCCCTCCCTCCCCTCGGAAGCCCCAAGCACAAGGCAATAGTACCCAAACACTTGATCACCTGTACCGCCCACTACACGCCGATTACCAAACCAGCGTCGACGGAGACGAGCGACGACCATGGCGCAAACAGAGACGAGCGAGGACGGCAGTCGCCCGTCTGAGGACCGACGACCGTGGACGGCAGGCGGGCAGACAGCCGGCCGCCGGCACCGCCAACGGCGCAGGCAGCCGGCCACGGCGCCGACAACGAGCAGGGACGGCAGCCAGGCAGCCGGCCGCCGGCACCGACGACCATGGCGCAGACAGACGACCGGGGACGACAGACGGACAGCCGCCGCCGTCGGCACCGACACAGTGCCGGCAGAGACGAGCGGGAACAGCAGGCGGGCAGCCGGCCGTCGGCACCGACCACGGCGTCGACGGAGATGTAGACAGCGGGGCTCAGCAGGCGGGCAGTCGGCCATCGGCACCGACCACGGCGTCGACGGAGACGTAGACAGCGGGGCTCAGCAGGTGGGCAACCGGCCGTCGGCACCGACCACGGCGTCGACGGAGACGTAGACAGCGGGGCTCAGCAGGTGGGCAGCCGGCCGCCGGCACCGACCACGGCGTCGACGGAGACGGAGACAGCGGGGCTCAGCAGGTGGGCAGCCGGCCGTCGGCACCGACCACGACGTCGACGGAGACGTAGACAGCGGGGCTCAGCAGGTGGGCAGCCGGCCGTCGGCACCGACCACGGCGTCGACGGAGACGTAGGCAGCGGGGCTCAGCAGGTGGGCAGCCGGCCGCCGGCACCGACCACGGCGTCGACGGAGACGTAGACAGCGGGGCTCAGCAGGTGGGCAGCCGGCCGTCGGCACCGACCACGGCGTCGACGGAGACGTAGACAGCGGGGCTCAGCAGGTGGGCAGCCGGCCGTCGGCACCGACCACGGCGTCGACGGAGACGTAGACAGCGGGGCTCAGCAGGTGGGCAGCCGGCCGCCGGCACCGACCACGGCGTCGACGGAGACGTAGACAGCGGGGCTCAGCAGGTGGGCAGCCGGCCGTCGGCACCGACGACCACGGCGTCGACGGAGACGTAGACAGCGGGGCTCAGCAGGTGGGCAGCCGGCCGTCGGCACCGACGACCATGGCGCAGACAGACGACCGGGGACGACAGACGGACAGCCGCCGCCGTCGGCACCGAACACAGTGCCGGCAGAGACGAGCGAGAACGGCAGGCGGGCAGCCGGCCGTCGGCACCGACCACGGCGTCGACGGAGACGGAGACAGCGGGGCTCAGCAGGCGGGCAGTCAGCCGCCGGCACCGACCACGGCGTCGACGGAGACGTAGACAGCGGGGCTCAGCAGGTGGGCAGCCGGCCGTCGGCACCGACCACGGCGTCGACGGAGACGGAGACAGCGGGGCTCAGCAGGTGGGCAGCCGGCCGTCGGCCCGACCACGGCGTCGACGGAGACGGAGACAGCGGGGCTCAGCAGGTGGGCAGCCGGCCGTCGGCACCGAACACAGTGCCGGCAGAGACGAGCGGGAACAGCAGGCGGGCAGCCGGCCGTCGGCACCGACCACGGCGTCGACGGAGACGTAGACAGCGGGGCTCAGCTGGTGGGCAGCCGGCCGCCGGCACCGACGACCATGGCGCAGACAGACGACCGGGGACGACAGACGGACAGCGCCGCCGTCGGCACCGAACACAGTGCCGGCATAGACGAGCGAGAACGGCAGGTGGGCAGCCGGCCGTCGGCACCGACCACGGCGTCGATGGAGACGGAGACAGCGGGGCTCAGCAGGCGGGCAGTCGGCCGCCGGCACCGACCACGGCGTCGACGGAGACGTAGACAGCGGGGCTCAGCAAGTGGGCAGCCGGCCGTCGGCACCGACCACGGCGTCGACGGAGACGTAGACAGCGGGGCTCAGCAGGTGGGCAGCCGGCCGTCGGCACCGACCACGGCGTCGACGGAGACGGAGACAGCGGGGCTCAGCAGGTGGGCAGCCGGCCGCCGGCACCGACCACGGCGTCGACGGAGACGTAGACAGCGGGGCTCAGCAGGTGGGCAGCCGGCCGTCGGCTCCGACCACGGCGTCGACGGAGACGTAGACAGCGGGGCTCAGCAGGTGGGCAGCCGGCCGTCGGCCCGACCACGGCGTCGACGGAGACGGAGACAGCGGGGCCCAGCAGCTGGGCAGCCGGCCGTCGGCACCGAACACAGTGCCGGCAGAGACGAGCGGGAACAGCAGGCGGGCAGCCGGCCGCCGGCACCGACCACGGCGTCGACGGAGACGTAGACAGCGGGGCTCAGCTGGTGGGCAGCCGGCCGCCGGCACCGACGACCATGGCGCAGACAGACGACCGGGGACGACAGACGGACAGCCGCCGCCGTCGGCACCGAGCACAGTGCCGGCATAGACGAGCGAGAACGGCAGGCGGGCAGCCGGCCGTCGGCACCGACCACGGCGTCGACCGAGACGGAGACAGCGGGGCTCAGCAGGTAGGCAGCCGGCCGTCGGCACCGACCACGGCGTCGACGGAGACGTAGACAGCGGGGCTCAGCAGGGGGCAGCCGGCCGTCGGCACCGACCACGGCGTCGACGGAGACGTAGACAGCGGGGCTCAGCAGGTGGGCAGCCGGCCGTCGGCACCGACCACGGCGTCGACGGAGACGGAGACAGCGGGGCTTAGCAGGTGGGCAGCCGGCCGTGGGCACCGACCACGGCGTCGACGGAGACGTAGACAGCGGGGCTCAGCAGGTGGGCAGCCGGCCGCCGGCACCGACCACGGCGTCGACGGAGACGTAGACAGCGGGGCTTAGCAGGTGGGCAGCCGGCCGCCGGCACCGACGACCATGGCGCAGACAGACGACCGGGGACGACAGACGGACAACCGCCGCCGTCGGCACCGAACACAGTGCCGGCAGAGACGAGCGGGAACGGCAGGCGGGCAGCCGGCCGTCGGCACCGACCACGGCGTCGACGGAGACGGAGACAGCGGGGCTCAGCAGGCGGGCAATCGGCCGCCGGCACCGACCACGGCGTCGACGGAGACGGAGACAGCGGGGCTCAGCAGGCGGGCAGTCGGCCGTCGGCACCGACCACGACGTCGACGGAGACGGAGACAGCGGGGCTTAGCAGGCGGGCAGTCGGCCGTCGGCACCGACCACGACGTCGACGGAGACGGAGACAGCGGGGCTCAGCAGGCGGGCAGTCGGCCGTCGGCACCGACCACGACGTCGACGGAGACGGAGACAGCGGGGCTCAGCAGGCGGGCAGTCGGCCGCCGGCACCGACCACGGCGTCGACAACGAGCAGGGACGGCAGGCGGACAGCCGGCCGTCGGCACCGACCACGGGCAGGCACTCAGCTGGCAGTCAAGGTGGAAGAGCTACCTCGCGATCTCCGACGGCATAACTGCTAGTCAAATCGACGGAGATCAGTCTTGCACCTCAGCCTCACCGTCGCCGACTGCTGGGACTGCTTAACCTTCAGTACACAGCCGTCCGACCAAACCGCCCACAGCTTCCCGGCCCGCTTCAGCTGCCGTGCAAGATACATGATCTCTTGGTTCTTACGAGTCAGGTTCTCTTGATGTTCAAACGCGCTACACTGCCTGAAACGCACTGCCTGAGATTGCACAAATGCTGTTGTGTTTGACAATGCACAATGCTGCGGCCTGTTTTAAGACTGTTTTGACTGCACCGAAACGAAGTTTTGGACTTGAATCACAACATAGCTATCTCGGCTCAAAGCTTGCGTATGCCTGGACGGTTTTGAATCAAAATGTTACATCAAAGCGAAGCAAAATAGACAGTTTCGTCAGCTCAGCTCTTGCTAGGTACAAGCAACAGCAATCAGCATTTACTCGTAGTACCGGATTCAAGACGCTGTGAAATAACACGGCAAATGTTCCTCTGCTTTCTAGCAAAGCCTGGAATGTGCGATTTGGGCTGCATTGATTGATTGCCTCATTGATTGATGGTCAGTTACTTAGCTGACCGCGCACAGTCTTCTATGCGGCTGACGTAAGAGTTGCGTCACGCTGTTAGAGGATTGTATTAATGCGTCTTGATGTGGGCTTTGTCCGCCCGCCCCCCCCTCTCTCTCTCTCTCTCTCTCTCTCTTTCTCGTGTTCACTGATCGTTATCCCTCTGTGGTTACAGGGTATTCTGGCATCTCTCTCCCTCCCTCCCTCCCTCCCTCCCTCTCTCTCTCTCTCGCTCTCTCTCCCTCCCTCCCTCCCTCTCGCGTTCTCTGACCGTTATCCCACTGTGGTTGCAGGGTACTCTGTCCGCGCCACCCAATCAACTAACCGCACCGGCTCATCATGCGCCGACCGCACAGGTGAGTGCTGCTCTGTCATCAGGCCGATATACGTGTCACAATCATGTCATAGTTACAAAGTCGACACGATGACACAGCCATGTGACACAGCCATGTGCCACAGCCGAAACTGACACCGACACGCGACACATTCCTTTGACACGGTCGTCTAATACTGCCAGTCTCTTGCCGCACCGACATACAGTTATGCACGCATTCGTACCGAGATGGATCTCGTGTGCTCAAGTTATGAGCGAATATGTGCACCAGGTCTCCCGCATTCTTTTGGTAACTGAAATCACCATATTTGATTTTTGTATCGCTACCCGACCACTCCTTGAAATCCACGCTGTTTATCGTTACCACGGCCCTATTACCTATGTGTAGATCCATTAATAACAGGTACACCCGAAGTCGGTGCCCAATGTGTGATGGCAGCCAGGTGTCGTGTCTGTAGTGCCGGGCCTGGTGTCAGTGCTAAGTGTGTGGTGCCGGCCTGGTGCTGAGCCTGTGGTGCCGGCTCGGTGTCGGTGATGTGGTGCTGAGCCTGTGGTGCCGGCCCAGTGTCGGCGCTGGCTCTAGCACCGGCCCGGTATCGGTGACCAAAGTGTGATGCCGGCTGAGCCTGTGGTGCCTGTGGTGCCGGTGCCGAGCGCTGAATCCGGGCCGCTGCCGGCAGAGCCGCCGTGGGACCGGCTGACGTCCGTGCTGCGGGAGCGGCCCGACCTGCTGGAGCGCTATGTCATGGAGCACGTCGAGCTCGACCAGCTCGAACGGTGGATCATCCGGAAAACGCAGCGCACCAAAACATCACATGGTGAGTAGAGCACTGAGGGGGCTTAGTGTTCCGAAAGGTATTATTCTAGATCACCTTCGAGAATATACGAGAATATTATGCGCCTATATCTTCCTTCTCGCTGCGAAGTGATGGGGGGAGGGGGAGGGGACCCCTTCTGAGAAAGCCGACTTCAGCCCATGACGTGCCATCCATTCAGGCGTTTATTTCCACAACCAGTCCCTGGACGTTATGGCCGATTAGTATTTACGATTTGTGGTAAATATTTATATGTTCGGCATCGTTACTTGTGTCCGTGCGGGCCTGGTGTGTTTGTGTATCCTGTTTGGCGTTTATTGGTTATACCCGACGAGTGAGTCTGCAGAGGGCAGCAGCAGCGCAGCAGAAGAAAGGGACGGCGACAGACTAAACTTTGTGCCGGCTCGTTCCGTGACTGTCTCACGGGAAGTCTATTCCCGGCAATGGTCCCAAGAAATAGGCAATAGCTACAGGTCGTATGGAAAGCGTCAGGTGCAGCACTTAGATTAGGGGAAACGGTCTTCATATTTTTTGGATATTTATTTTTTCGGAAAATTTTTTCCATTAGTGCCACATCAAAATTTGAATTTTCAATCTTTTCGGGGATTAGCTGACTGATACGTAAATGGGCAGACTAGTAGGAACAAGTAAGGCAGTTACGATGAGCCGCTTATGACCACCCAGCAGTGCTGACAGCCAGGTGTGCTCTCACTTCCTACCTGTTGATAGGTCCCTCCAGAAATATATATCCTTTCTGACATTGGCCTAATTTCCCGCGGATGTGCTGGGGAGCTCTTGGCCGTCTGCTCTATCACAGGGCGCTCAAACCGCGTGTTATCCGTCACGCAATCTTTACATGTCGGGTCGATGGTGCACCGGCCGGACGGGGACTAATATCGCGCACGCGGCGGGCGCGCCCCGGTGATGGAACTCGGCTGATCTGCGAGCCGCCGATCGATGTCGCTGCAGCTCCCGACACAATATTACTCCCGACTGATTAGTCGGGCATTGTTCTAGTCGGAGACCAGCGACCGCGGCGGCCGCAGACGCGTCCGACGGCCGCCTTTTGACGCCACTCACCGATAGACCAACCGACGTGGAGATCTCTTTTGGTGAAGCTGAGACGAGCGTGGCGCGCCTGCAAACAATTGTAGATTAACGTGGCGCAACTCACTTGCAGTGAAGATTAAATTTTATTTTAATCACAAAAACAGCAGCACTCGATTCCGCTGTTGCTTACATCGAGTAAATGACTAACGTGTAAAACATTTACGCCATCTCTTCCTGCTTCACCGGTCTCTCTCTCTCTCTCTCTCTCTCTCTCTCTCTCTCTCTCTCTCTCTCTCTCTCTCTCTCTCTCTCTCTCTCTTTCTCTCTCTCTCTCTCTCTCTCTATTTTTTTTTGTCACATCATGCAGTTGGAAGCATCTTACAAACGAGGACGCCTCGAATCCTTGTTTTTTTTAACGCTATCTGGAACCCCAAGAGAACAATGGCAAATTATATGTAGTTGGTGGCCGCGCTGGGCTAGATAGCCCGTAAATTTTCCCAATTACATCGAGCTAGCGAGGCTCCACTTGAATAGCCAGGACGTAGTCGGTTTGCGGGTAATTACTTCGGCCTTTATAACACTTATCAATTGCCCGACTTGTATCTTCCCTCCAAATTCTTCCTCCACATTGGTTCTCGTAGAGATTGCTCGGGGCGTCCTATTCTTATGTCCGTCCTCCGTTCTATGTCATATCATTAAAGGGACTGTCCCACCTTTGCATTAGTTCTGAGTTGAGATAGTCAAGTTGGCGGCCAGGTTCAGAAACCACTATATATCCTGGTCGCAATATCCTCAGTTTCGTGGTGTTAAAAAAATTCGTTCCCTTCATTTGAAAAGTGGGCCTTAGCTAAGGCCCTATCTCTTAACTATTAACGGCCATTTGATGACGTCATTTGCATTTTGAACGCCTGTCACGCATGTGAAGTTTCACTTGATTTACGAATGAGCTAATCAGAGACACTTGTTATTGTATGAGCCGCGTCATATTTGAGAGCAAATACCTATATTTGCTGCCAAATTTCCCCCACATTGACATGAAGTAAATTCTTCATTACGTCACAGATCCGATCTAAATGACGTCACGATGAAATATAAAAGGCGCAATATCTCAAAAAGTATACAATGAAAACGCGTAAAAACTTGCAGAATTCGTCACAATATCATGAGTAACATTTCCGAATCCTAAATGGTACTTTTTTGAAGGTGGGATAGTCCCTTTAAAGGGACCCTCCCACCTTCAAAAAAGTTTATGAATTGGCATGAAAGTGATGTCGCTCGGTTCAGAAAGAGCGAAAACGAATATCTACCAAATTTCACCTAAAAAATATTCACCGGTTTTCAAGATATTAGACTTTTACTTTTGTTTACTTTTTGGAATCTCCGCTGTTCCTAGCGACTTTATTTGGAAGCAATAGTTTGGCAGCTGAAAGTGCGGCACTTGTTGCGCGCAAAGCAGCATATACCACCGCGTGCTACAAAACGTTTTAGTCAAACATTTAAAAATCGTTAGATATCTGCGCTGACGTCACACATTCAGAGGGGTATTCCTATGCATTAGCCCCTCTGAATCAAAATGCTGCAATTTTGAAATTCAATATTTCCGATTTAAGGCATTTCTCGATGTTGTGAGTGCCGAAACCGGTAGTTGTGAGCCAGGGACCCCATTTTGGCTATCTCAACTCAAATCTAATGTTAAGGTGGGAGGGTCCCTTTAAGCATACACCCATACTGGAAGTGCTCCCAGTGTGTTGCCGGCGATTACGCCTAAGTCACCGTCTGAAGTGGTAGGGAGGAGAGGGGAGGAGAGGAGGGTAGGTATTGCACGCTGTCCTCTGGGTTGCTTGCCCTAGCTCAGTGGTTTTTTTTTTCTAGCATAATATCTCACCCTTTTCAGCAATGATTTGCACTATCATTAGAGCGGTACCCTGATCTACATCCCTATACTGATACCAGCCGGCGTATGATGTTATTATTTTAACGGCAACCCACAGGAGCTTGCTTCGTGGCGCTAGATACGACGCTGTGGGTGGGTGGGAGCGGTAGAGGCGAATCTGCCGTATACGGATTCGACGCTATAGTTTATTAATATTTCAGAAACGTTTATTTAAAAAACTACCTGAACAACAGCAATGTTTCGATATGTGATAAAGTGCAATGTTCTGCAGGCATGAAAACCAACGAGGTGCATAAAAAGTTATGATTGAATGATATGCAATAATGCATAGTAGGTGATAACGTGTTCATTTCTTTCTAGGCTCGGCAACACGGAAAACAAGCTTATCACGATGGAAGGTAAGGTTTTAACAGTTTTCTGCATTCATGTTCCACTAACATTCATTACTCCTTATCGTTTATCGTTTGTGTGGTGCTTTAAGTGCAACGCGGTATCGGAAGTACGCAATTGTCTGACGGTGACATTGATGAAATCCGCCGGGTGTGAAAAAGAGCCATTAGGTAACAATTAATTATCATATTCACGGCTGTTTGCGCCTCTCACTTACAGTATACGTCGGATGGTATGTGTCGGATGGGGACATTTCAGCTCCATTCTTGACTCAGTTTGTGGACTTCTTATCGAATAATAGCAGGCAGCACGGAAGCCAAACGTCTATGAGAACATGCTCTAAAAGTCATTCAAGTCTCTTTTAAAAGAATTATTTCAGGTTTATCTTCTCGAATCAAATACACTACAGGTTAGCATCATTCTTTGGCTACTCGTCTTGACAATGCAATTAGAGAAGCCGCTTAAAGGGACTATCCCACCTTTAACATGGGGTTTGAGTTGAGATAGCCAAGTTTGCGGCGAGGTTCAGAAACCACTATCTATCTAGGTTGCAACCCCCGCGGCCTCTTGGTGTTGAAGAAATTCGTTCCCTTCATTTGAAAATGGGCCTTGCGCAAGGCCCTATCTTCAACATGGAGCGACCGTTAGTGTGACTTCACCTCGTTTAGTCATTCTGATTTAAATGGGTTTGTTCGTTGAAAATCGCTTAAAACTTGGTCTGAACTTTGTTGTGGTGCCTACAGAGTAAAAAGAATCAGCTTTATGACAGTAATGTGGCCTGGGGAAGGAGGTAATTTTGGGCTGTGACGTCACATATTTGAAAGTTTGTGTTTGGAATATGGGAAGCCTAAGATGTTTAATAAAAAATAAATGCCAGAACCGTGTTCCTGGTCATCCAATCTATAAAGTCGGGCACAATTTAACTGGTTTTAACAACATTTTAGAAGGTGGGATAGTCCCTTTAAAGGGACTATCCCACCTTTAACATGGGGTTTGAGTTGAGATAGCCAAGTTTGCGGCGAGGTTCAGAAACCACTATCTATCTAGGTTGCAACCCCCGCGGCCTCTTGGTGTTGAAGAAATTCGTTCCCTTCATTTGAAAATGGGCCTTGTGCAAGGCCCTATCTTCAACATGGAGCGACCGTTAGTGTGACGTCACCTCGTTTAGTCATTCTGATTTAAATGGGTTTGTTCGTTGAAAAATCGCTTAAAACTTGGTCTGAACTTTGTTGTGGTGCCTACAGAGTAAAAAGAATCAGCTTTATGACAGTAATGTGGCCTGGGGAAGGAGGTAATTTTGGGCTGTGACGTCACATATTTGAAAGTTTGTGTTTGGAATATGGGAAGCCTAAGATGTTTAATGAAAAATAAATGCCGGAACCGTGTTCCTGGTCATCCAATCTATAAAGTCGGGCACAATTTAACTGGTTTTAACAACATTTTAGAAGGTGGGATAGTCCCTTTAAACACAATGAAACTTTTATGTACGCGTTTATCATTTTTTATCATGGCTACTTAACAAGAGCCATAAACTTAGTCTACATCATATTGTACATTGATCTACTTTTCGTCCTTTGCCAAAGCATCTTTAACGATGTGACTGTGCGGATTTTTTACATTAACCCGCGCCCTGCTGGGGGGGGGGGTGTTTGAACACCCCCCCCCCTGTGGTTTTTCGCGGATATCTCAAAAACGGCGGCGCGGAGCGCCGCCGTTTTTGGTACACCTTATCATACATCAATTCTACACATGTTGTGAAAATTTCAGACCAAGGTCATTCAAGGTCAGGTCACCAGGTCACTTGAAGTGACCTCACCTCATAAAAAGTTTCAATGTCTGCCATAGCTACACCGAGTGACCGATCGCTTTGAAACTTTCAGCGATTACTAAGAGCAATAGCATGTACAAAATGTTTATCTCAGAATTTTGATATCGATGACCTAAGGTCAGGTCAATTTTGCGACCTCCCCATTATAAGTCAATGGGAGAAAATTGAAATGCGCCTCTTTTGGACGAAAAGCATTATAAACACTCCCAAACACAGAATTACAAGTGGTTTAGACACACTGAACATGAAAATGGTGTCCGTGACCCCTGGTTATGCCCCTGAGGTCATCTTAGGTCACGAATGGTATCTAACAGTTTTTTGCAAATAACTTTTGATAGAGGCATGCTAGAGCGATGAAAACGCCTTAGCTGTGTTCAGCTCGACGATACGGATCGACTGATATGCAACATGACCCTTTCCGGTCAGGTCATGACCTTGACCTGAGGTCAAATTTTCAAGTTGACCTTTCAAGGTCAAGTTATAGTTCATTCGATGCGTCTTGACGAGAGGAACACGATGCCGGTAAAAGTAAGCTCGTACAAGGTTTGGGTCAAAAGTTATTGCAGAAAAACTGTTTCCGAAAAAATCGGCTAATTTTGCAGTTTTTACCCCCTGCAGGCAAAACCGTTGACGCTAGGTCAAATCTGAGAGAATTACTCAGAAAGAGCGTTAATAGGGCTATCGAATGCGCTTTTCCGCAGCGCTGTAGCTCTATTGGTTCCCGAGTTATGCGTTGGCTTCTTGGAAATTGTCGACATTCGACCTGGAAATCGGCGAAATTTTGCCTTCAATGACCTCTGGTGACCTGACCTTTGACCTGACCAAAAAATTGACCGAAGTGATTTCGTCATTATTTTTTACGTTCTGTCGAACGCCGCCTTCCGCGTATCGCTACGTGGCCCAGGAGCCGAGTTAGAAGGGGGGGTGTTTGAACACCCCCCCCCCCCCCCAGCAGGGCGTGGAAATCCAGGACCCCCAGCAGGGCGCGGGTTAATAGTAAAAACTTATACAATCACTCCACCCAAAAACGCGTTGTTAAACATGTCTCGTTTTCGAGCCCGTATATTCCGAGCACTTTGGTTGTCCTGCTGGTCCTGTGAACAGCACATGCATCACGCGCACAGTATTCATTCGTGGATGTCGATGTGCGCTCCCGCGCTGCCGGCGGTCTGTGCGCAGCGCGGCCGCCGGCGCCGCCGCTGACGGCCGCGTCCTGCGCCGCTGTTTCACAGAGCACAGACTCTGATGTGCCGCCTCTCCCGCCGCAGTTTTGCGTACACGCCGACAAGCGCAAAATGCTCCAGGAGCTCACCCGCTCGCTCCCCGACAAACCCGGCATGGCTAACGTGCTCAACGAGCTGGCCGGCTGCATCGCGTCGGCCGTGAACGCTGACTTCCAGCGGCTCTACCTGGTCGAGAAGCGCGACGGTCACGTGCACGCCTACGACCCGGAGCAGCAGCAGGTGCTGAGCACGTATCCGATCGGGCCCGGCACCGTGCTGGCCGCCCACGTGGCCGCCACGCGGCAGCCGCTGCGCACCAGCACTCCGTTCGTCGACAAGGACAAGTACCCGGAGGGTGTCGGCGCGCCCACGGTGAGTGCCAGCCGCCTCTGCTCGGGGCTGTAGATTACATGGTTCTGAGTAAAATAAGGCGTGATCGAAATTTCGAACGGTCGATCCTCAATGAACTCATTTGTAATCATGCCAGTTTCGCCGCTTTTACTGGCTTCTGAACAAATGGCGTTGCTTTCTGAATTCTGATATCCTGCGGCACTCCTGTCTGAACTCTAACAGCCAGCGATGCTTCTGTCTGATCACTGTCGCTCCGTCCACCCTGCAGGAGGGCGCGCAGTACGTGATGGCCCAGCCGGTGCCGCTCTCCGATGGGGACCTGGTCGCCGTGCTGGAGCTCTACCGCAACGCCTCCAACCCATTCTACGAGGAAGACGAGGAGATCGTCAACAGCTACATCGTCTGGGGCGGCATCGCGCTCCACTACGCCGACCTCTACCACACGCTCAGCGACCAGCGCAAGGTCCACGACTTCATACTGGATGTCACAAAGTGAGTAGTCGCGGGCCTGTGCCGCGGAACGGGCATCGAACAAATGCTGGCCATTGCGGGCGAGAGAACCAGTAACTGCGTTGGTAGCCTGTACCGCAGTACTGCGCTACGCTGCGGCACAGCCTACCAGTACAGGCAGTGGTGAGCCGAGCGCGGCGGCGCGGCAGGCGGCAGCCTACCCCAACTGCTTGGACTAAAGTAGCGCACAACTACCGTTATAGTTATTGATTGCTTATGGCAAAACTGACATTAAGACCAGCATGACTGACGAACCGGCTCGGTTTAGCTGTACATGCTATATTTATACACAGAACCAACCAAATTTAGAAATGTTTGCAATATGCTAGTTTTACCCCAGATCCAGTCGTCATTGCTACGTTGCACACAAGCTTTTATTTCAAGCAATGACATGCCAATTACCTATTGTCTGTTTTGTTTCAGGTCGATATTTCAGGACATGGTGTCGATGGATACACTCATCACAAAGATAATGAATTTCGCTCAGCGGCTAGTGACGGCCGACAGGGCATCCCTGTTCCTCATGGACGGTCGGACAAAGGAGCTGTACGCGCGGATATTCGATATGGGCAACGCAAACGGCGACTCCAGTCCGCAGGCTCAGGAGATCAGGTAAGAAAAGGGTTGGTCTCACACTAGATAACTAGCCAAGGTTGATGTTTAGCGCAGACTGGAGAGACACCGTGGTGTGGAGGAGAGTAAGGACCTGGACTAGAGATATTCATAGACGGGCGAACAGCGTTCTGGAGTTGAAGAGATGATAACCAAATAGATGAATTGGCGACAGAACATTGCGCAGAATGAGTACGAATAAAGAAGAGCACTGTAGTCCCGTAGTTGACAAGTAATTTCAAACTTGGATGCGACTCGCCAGAAGCTGGTCGACAGCGGTCAAAATGAATCAATTCCGCTAAATCGCTTGGGATGGGATGTTATTTATCGCTGAACTATGCTCATTTTTCAACCAGTAAGTGCAATGAAAGAAGAACTACATTTGTTTCCACCGTAACGTTAATTATGGTGCAAGAAATAACTGCCGAGGATTATGGAATAGGCAGGTAGCAGGCAGATCAGACGAGTGACCCGGGACCCTGACTCGGGAGAATACTTGCTCCGGGCGCCGACGTTTACATCGATCGGTGACATGATTGATATTAGCTGGAAGGAGGCGCAGCCAGCTCCTTCCTTTTGCTGCGCACGTGGATGGCTTGAGGTCATCAGTGGTAGCTACGAACATTTGCTTCGCTAGCCTTGTTTCGCTGAAGTATAAGCACTACAGTTACCAATCAAAGGCTAAGCTTTTGGAATTATAAATGAGTATGATTAATGATTTGGGACTCGGTTATAAACAGCTGGATAAAAAGCAGCCAAAAACAGGAGCAAAATAAAGCATTGCACTTAGTGATGTCTACCTGATTTGACCCACATTGCCTACCTGCTTGGTGCCTCACAATAAAATACGAAACCACAGATGAAGGATGTAGCTGGTCATTGAAATTAATGGCGGACGTCGGGTCCGCCGGTGGCCTCTGCTACATCCGAACCTTGTCTGCAGGTTCGCCGTCGGCACGGGCATCGCCGGCCAGGTGGCACTGAACGCGCAGGGCCTCAACATCATCGACGCCTACGCCGACGACAGGTTCAACAGGTCCATCGACCAGCAGACGGGCTACGTGACGCGCTCGCTGCTCTGCATGCCCATCTTCAGCAGGGGCGTCGTCATTGGCGTCGTCCAGATGGTCAACAAGACCACGGGAGCCTACTTCACCAAGGTCAGTTCTGACATGCGATTTATCGATAGTCTGAACTTATGTGAGTGTCTTGAAGGAAATCAACGATAGCGCAACTACTTTGAAGGGTTAAGTGGACGTTTCCCGAATTTCATTTTATGAACTGGGAGATGGTTTATCGTGAATCAGGCATGTATATTGAAGCTTTGCGTGTGTTTGTCATGACGCTTTTCTTGCAGGCGGATGAGGAGAATTTCGAGTTTTTCGCGGTGTATTGCGGCTTAGCGCTCCACCACGCCAAGCTATATGACAAGATTCGTCGCAGCGAGCAAAAATACAAAGTAAGTACATTTTCTTGGTCACCCCGATATGCATAAAACTTGCGTATTTACTTGTGTCCCGCTATAGGACACCGATAAATTGGTTCGACTTTACTTCAACGAACATTGCCTATATGCAAAAAAGCCAGAACGCTCCATCGGTTACCATTTCTCGCGTAATTTACTTATCAATTCCTGGTGACGCTCAGTCAAAGATAGCATTTCTCTGAAAAAGGAATTTCATTTACCACTGGGTTTCGCTGCGAGGTTCTCGTTCCGTTGTACAGTCAACAGGAGTGAATTCGCAGCAATCGTATCCACCCCGTGCCGCAAAGGATCTCCATCAACGGCCGCCCGAGCGAGTCGCAAACATACTTGCATTTGATACCTGCAACAACTCAAAGGCTTCTATTCAGTTTGTTTAGTTCCGTGTGATAGGGAATGAAAATGTGGCAGAACTATAGACGACTGTTGGATTTTCTATTGCTACACCGTAGAGTCTAAGCATTCTTGAAACGATGTTTTTGGGTCAGGGTGCGCTCATCTTGTTAGACTAGGATAAGCGCAATGGGTAGCCGTTAAAATGTTCACCGTTAAATTAAGGCAATAGGCATGCTTACCGCCACGCGACAAAGCTCATTTATATTCATCCACTATCGTGTTAGGAACCTGCTACTCATTTAGACGGCTGCAATCATGCTGCAATTCATCTCAGCGCTAATACCTATAGGTTCTGCAATAACTATTTTTGATAGCTGTGGGTGTATTTATAAAATTTACATTATATAAAGGCTTCTAAAAGCATTTGCAACAGCACTCTCCATATTTCAATAATTGTTAAATTATTAATCTTTCTCAGAAATGTAATGCCCACTAATACCATATGCGATCCAATATCCCCTGTGCTATACACAACTGTAGCGAAACTATGATTTTGGAGAACTGCCGAGCTATTATATAACAGGCTTGTATCACAGGTGCGGTTTACAGAACCCTAAATTTATAATTATCCTCACAGCACTGTCATATTAATCATGATAATTGATATTGCTCTTTGAAGAATGTCGCCTGTAGCGTAAAGAAAGAAATAATATAACTGATTCTGTTGCTTCTGGCCTGCAAGTTAATTCTTACCAGACGACTCAAGAATGTTATTGTATGGTTGACCGGTTTTGTTAACGATTATTGCAAGGCTTGCAACAATGTGCTGAAGGAAGCTTTTCGTTTTTTTTTGTGTGTGCGGAATGTGGCAGCTCATACTCGAACTTGCGTGGAATGTTTTCACCATTATAAAGTCATTCACTTGTGAACTATCTACACTCGTTTTTAATTTGATGCTGTGTCTGACGGCGCCTTTCCCCACGGTCAGGTGGCGTTAGAGGTTCTCAGCTACCACAACAGCTGCACGGACCAGGAGGTGGCCGACTACAAGTCCACCTACAATATGTACCCGTCGCCGGGCCTGAACGAGTGAGTGGCCCCGTTCCCAGAGGCCGCCCAGCGCCGCCTTTGTTAGGGGCGTGTGGGAGCACTCCGCTGCAATGTCCCATTCATTCGGCACACAGCGCCGGCCTGGGTACCTCCCCCCCTCTCCCTCTCGGCCTCCCCTGTCTCATCGGTGGGTGTCACAGCGCGCTTTTACCATCGGATGGGGCTGGCGCAGTCCTTTGACCTTGCTCCATGTGTCGGAAATCCATGGGGCCGGTGTTTAGCTTATAGGCACGCTGCCAACTCTGATAACGTCGCAGAAGCTAAAACGCAATCTGTATAGTTCAATGGCAAACATTTATCTTGTGTCTCTCATGGTGTGGTAAATTTTTGATTATGCACATTTTATTGGATGATATCATATTTATTTATGTATTGCCATGGATAAGAATACAGATCTTACGAACGTTCACATCAGCCGAAAACTTCGAAAGGTACACCATAGTTGGCCCCACGCTTGCAGCGTGCGCATATGACATCTTAAATGATTACTGTACTGTAACGGAACAATTAGGCTGCATCTTTTGGAGGCCCTTTAGTGATGTAGGCATTTCCCTATCTATTGTTCAGGGATTACCGATCGAATCTCAGCCTTGCTACCTAGAATGGGAGCTCAGAGCTGGTTTATACAAGCCCCGGGCCTCTCTGCATCTTGGCGCCGCGCTGAGCCGCGTCGCTATTCTAGTCGCAACCAGGACAACGGTTTACTGGAGATGTCAAACATAGCCGACGCCTGGTGAAACAGGCGGCGGCCCGGAGCCGGGCGCCGGTGACCCCTCGGGACCTTCTCCGGAGCGGGCGGCGCCGGCGGCCGACCGGACCCTAATCCCAGCTAATAACCCCGACCCGGGTATCGAGCGGGTCATCCCAGTGGTCCGAGAGGTGGGCGGCGGCCGGGCACGGCCGGGCCGGACGTACTCGGACAGGGTAGGGGCCGGACGGCCGCCGGGGACACCTGTACCGGCCGTGTCTGAGAAGCCGGAACGACTGCAGACAGACGTGCGAGTGGGGACTGGAGAGAGATGCCCGGAGCCGTCCAGAGGCGGACTGGCAGACCTTGATGGGTTTCTTTTATTGGACACCGCTTTGCTGAAGATGATCTATGGCACGGCTTAATGAAAAGCTTTGTGTCGATACGACCGGGAGTCAGCGCCTCCCCCATCGGCAAACCAACCCCAAAACGCATTCCTTACCAGCTTGAACATCACACGATTTCCCTTTAGCTCCTTTCACGTTTCGCAGCCTTACTTCTGCCATGGTCTATGTATAAAGTGCAGAGTATCGGACATAACGCAATGTAATTACAGTGATGAGACAAGCGATGTTGTCATATTATTCATGCAATCCAAATTATTCGAAACGTTTTCCATGTCATCATAAAGTTGTAAGTACCATCGAAGGCTAATTACCAGCCCTCCTTCCCACCTCACAGCATCCTGACAGTGACACCATGCGCTGAGCCAGCCCTCCTTCACACCTCACCGCATCCTGACAGTGACACCATGCGCTGAGCCAGCCCTCCTTCACACCTCACCGCATCCTGACAGTGACACCATGCGCTGAGCCAGCCCTCCTTCACACCTCACCGCATCCTGACAGTGACACCATGCGCTGAGCCAGCCCTCCTTCACACCTCACCGCATCCTGACAGTGACACCATGCGCTGAGCCAGCCCTCCTTCACACCTCACCGCATCCTGACAGTGACACCATGCGCCGAGCCAGCCCTCCTTCACACCTCACCGCATCCTGACAGTGACACCATGCGCTGAGCCGCGACATGCGGCAACCAGGGCAACCCTTTAACTGCAATATTTGTGCATTTGTTTCAGCTACAACTACAACGTGTTCGAGACGTCAGAAAAGGACAAGATCAGGGATGCTGTGTTCATGTTCACTGATCTATTCGGCACCAGTCGCTTTGACATCGACTGCCTGATCCGGTCAGTTGCAGTGGCGTGAGGCCGAGTCGGCCCAATATGATCTCAACATATCCTGCAGTCGGCCCACAGACTGATCCAAGTTGTATCGCAGACCGATCCCAACACGCAGACTGCTGCCGAATCTATCCCCTTACCAATTCGGAGCAGCACCGAAAGAACCTATGTATGATCTCTACAATTCTAGCCCGCAGTTTAAAACGTTCTTCGTATTGCCGTATCATATAACTCCCGTCCCCTTGTTATTTTGTTCCGTCGTTACATTGCCAGTCTGTCTCGCAGCCCTTCAACTCCTGTGTCATTGTGAGGCTAAGTCCGTCTAATTTGCCCATTTGCCCGCGGGCCGTGTGCGCAGGTTTACCATCACAGTGATGAAAAACTACCGGAGAGTGCCGTACCACAATTGGACGCACGGCTTCGCGGTGGCAAACATGATGTACTGCATCATCAAACACAATCCGAACGTCTTCAAGACTATTGAGGTGAGGGAAATGCCTTCGTGCACTTAACTTGATCGGAACAGGGACTTGAGCAATGAGCAATCCTGACCAGACCCAGAGGAATGCCTAGCCACCGCGGCAAAGAGGTATTTTTATTTCGCAACACGAACCCTTTTATAAGTGCATTGCAGTGGTTTCCAGACTTTCAGATCCGATCTTGCTAGCCTTCGCGGAGTCGGAAATAGAGGACACCAGGCTAGAAAATTAAGGTTCAAGGTGCGGTATCATTTTAATGCTTAATTTCGTTTTACATTCATGAGACCTAGCAGTGTCAAGTCGATGTTTGCTGCAGACAATTATTTCTGCAATAGCATGGATGGCGATAGGTTCACAGCTCCCGACTGGCTGTGGCCCGTAACTTTGATATAGAGTTGTTCGAACAGTCACGTCTACTCGAGGGAAGTTACGCCGCCCCAACGCCCCAATCTGTGCGATAAATCTTGAAGTTGGTATCACAGGAAGCAAAGTTCTCTCCCAGTGTCGAAAGCCTGGCGATTTATCGCAGGTTGTGGGCGGCGCGTCTGAGCCCAATGACCGTCTGGGTGGCCAGTTTTATTGTCCATTGTCCAGCCGGAAGTGAGGCGCAGTCTGTGCTCGGTGACCTGTCTACACCTAGTATGGGTGCAGTGTGGTATCTAGCCAGGCACAGTCTGTGCTTGGTGACCTGTCTACTTCTAGTCTACGTCTAGCCTGAAGTGTAGTATGTTCTGTCCGCTGTGCTTTATCTGTCGTCTGACTAAGCTGTCGCTGTCTCGTGCTAATGCTATCCACAGAGCCTAGCTCTGTTCGTGGGGTCGCTGTGCCACGATCTGGATCATCGGGGACGCAACAACAAGTTCATGCTGGAGACGGACTCTGCCATCGCGGCAATATACAGCACGTCCACAATGGAGCACCACCACTTCAATCAGACCGTCACCATCCTGCAACAGGTCTGTAAGACACCGAGCGATTCTGCCTAAACCTCCGCCTAAAATCCATACGCCGAGGTATAACCAGGTAGACAAGGATCCCGGTGTGGGATGGGCACTGGGCAGAGGCACCGGGGCTGGAAAAGGCCTTCCGGTGGGGCAGCAAGAAACGTTGTGAAATGGGTTCCTGTGGAGGGGTCTGATTAGCCACCAAGGTATGAATATGGTGTAGAACAGCATCAAGGGAAGAGACAGATTGTTTGTGATCAGGGCTTTTATTCATAAAAATAATCTTTATCAAGAAGAGGAATACGTCTGTGATGGGTTTGTTATGATTCGTGGTCGTGCCTGCTTGTACCCCACGCGTCCTCCGTATTCTGCAGGATGGCCACAACATCCTGGGCAAGCTGTCCAGCTCCGAGTACAAGCAGGCTCTCAGCAACATCAAGCACTGCATTCTGGCCACCGACCTGGCGCTGTTCTTCCCCAACAAGGCAAAGCTGGCCAGCATTCTCAAGGAGGGTCTGTTCGACTGGGGCAACTCCGAACACAGGTGAGGCGCTGATAAAGTGGGCAGGGTCCACAGTCAAAACGCTTCCTCACGTACGGGTGATGGGTACAACCAAACGGTGTTGAGAACCCACGTGTCCAAAATGTAAAATGGGGATGCATCGTTTCCCATGGAACTTCCATGCAGGTCATGAGACGTCAGTTATCAAGACCGTTTGAAATTTGAATGGCTGATAGAATTGGAGGCTGTCCAATGGCCGAGCAATGAAGGACCTCCCACCCGTGATCCGTGACCATCCTATTTGATAGATATGCCAGTGGAACTAACACCATTGTGTGATTCTGGCCCAGTCGAGTTGAAAGATAGGCAGCATTGATTGCCGGGACCACTTTATAGTATCGGCTGTGCTCAATGTGTGCTAAGAATAGCGTAGCGAGGAGTTAAATCAGTTGATAAGGCTTATAATCCTTAACAAGTTTGTTTCTGAATTCATTATTTTAAATGCACTCGAAGAAAACTGGTTTGAATGTATAGGGATATGCCCATGGTGACCCCCAAAACAAAACGATTTGCATTAGGAATTTAGCTGAAACTTGATTTGGTAATAATGTAGCTTTGGCTCATCATCGGCATTTAAATGGTCTGTTAATGTTTGATCTATGAAAACTTCCTATGCTTTGTTTTTGTAAGTACGAGTTGATTTATCGCAAAAAGACGTTATGATAAAACCTGGGCATTGCGAGTGCTAACTATTCAGTTGTTCACAATGTTTGTATTTACATTAAAGAGCGATCCACATAAGATGTGCGTGGCGATTACTGCTCAGAATCCGTATCCGCGGTTGCTAATCTAATCATTCAATACATTTGCACATTCACTCACATCAAAACAAGGACAAAATACTCTCAGGACAGCCTCATTGCTCTTACCCACCCCCATCCTATTGGTCAGCGACGATGTGCTGATTCATCGTCCACGATTGCGGCTTTAACAGCGCGGGCGAAGCGGGCGGGAGGCAGCTGCGACAGGTGAGGTGGCAGGCTGTTCCATCGGTCGATCACCATACACATGCACAATATAAATTTCAGATACATACATGCAAGCAACTACAAACGTACAACAATTACGGACTCAGTTGACGAAAATTATTCACATTTGTTTACCGACTAATATTCACGATATAGCATAATTGAGGTGACAGACGCTGTGGGCGTGTCTGCCGTCCCACCCACACAGTTTTGATGGCCGACTGCTCTGAACTCGCCCCCAATCGGCCGGCTTCAGAGCCATCGTCATCAGCATCGACCACCGTAATCATCCGCCTATATTGGCACAGCCTGATCACAGCGACAGCAAATAAGCCATCAAACACAGGCGCGCGCCCGCCCTCTGCGGGGAGGCGCTGTTTTATCTGTAAACACATCAACGCCGCGGCGATGGAGCAAAAACACACACGCACACACATACAGGCGGTGATTGTAATTTTTGCGATTAAGATACAGCATACATTTTGCATTCATATTTTAAACTATATCTTTGGACACTTTTAGAATGACGATGGAGTTGTCACGATTGCTCAATTATGTTTTAGTGATGCCTCATTTAGTTAAGCGTTGAAGAATGTACATATTTCATCATTGACCTCAATCGGTAGCGGAACCTGCATGTCATGTTACTCCCACTAAGATCATTGACAGAATTACAGCCATTTACGGAAGCCCTTCCATTCCGCAGGCTGCTGCTGCAGGCGATCTCCATGACGGCCTGTGACCTGTGCGCCAGCTCAAAGCCGTGGAAAATCCAAATACAGACGGTGGCCGATATATTCGAGGAATTCTACGAACAGGTAATGACTAAGGGACTCTCAGATCAGAGCACACTCTGATCTGAGAGCCTGGGCCGGGGTTAACACTCTCTGGGTTAGTGTGTATTTGGAGACATGACCGTTCAACGATATACCGGCCGGCAATGCCCGGAGGAGGTCTAAAAAACCCTCAAAATATGGTACATCGGTCGATCACCATACACATGCACAATATAAATGTCAAGATACATACAATGCAAGCAACTACAAACGTACAACATTTACGGACTCAGTTGACGAAAATTATTCACAAAGCCCATTCCAAAGTCAAAAGCTTTTCACTCAAGCGTATTTCATAACTGACCCAGCTATGACTTGATCCGAGCCACAACCCTACGACTCCCGGTTGGTGACCTGACACGGGTGACGACCTAACACCCCCGGTGGTGACCTGACCCCGATGATCATCTCACGCCCCCGGCGGTGACACCTCGGCGGGGCCGTCTGGCCGTGCTGACCGTCTCTCTCCGCCCCGGTGTCGTTTCTCACGCGGTGCTGACCCTAGGGTGATAACGAGCGGGCGCTGGGCCGCGAGCCGCTGCCGATGATGGACCGGCTCCAGTCGGAGAACCAGCCGCACACGCAGGTAGGTCGGCCGCCGCGCCGCGCGCTCCGCCGCCGCCGGCCGCCGCTCTGAGTGTCGCTCTGTGCCCTCGGCGGTGTTGCAGGGTGACGCCGAAAAGCAGGCGGGCCGCATCCCGCTGCAGCTGATGGACCGCTCCCAGCATGACCAGCAGGCGCACTCGCAGGTACACTGACTGTCGCCGGCCGACCGACCGCCCCCGGCGCCTCAGCAGCTTCTCACACCTGTGCTCCACTCAGTCCGAGAGCCACTGACTCACTGTGACGTCTTACGCTCCTCCTAACCTCCACTGCGCCGCCATTTTAGCAGTTGATTGCATTTTTATGGCAGTTTCTTCCAGCTTCTTGGAGCAAGCATTGGCGCACGTTTTGAACTTGGGTTTCCGATGCATATGAGATTGACGCAGCGGGAATTATGTAGAACGTACATTGGGCGTGTCGTGTAGACCAGCACACTCGTGTACATGCACCGTAGTTCCAGTACTATAACACTGCAGTATTAGGAGGCACGCTGCACTATTTGTAAGTTGAGAAACGGGGTGAGCATTCCTTTGAGAACAGAAAAACGGGCTTGGAAGACCCTTTGGGCATAAGAAACATTTTTTGGAGCATTGCGTTCCTCTTCTTTGCAGCTTTTACACATTGTAATGACAATTGCAACGAAACGTTGGTAACGGGTATATCGGTTTATGTTGCGCTGGCAAATTTCGCACAGCTGAAGTTGCGCCCTAAAAACACACTGGGGTCAAATTTTATATTTACACCCCGCCCCCATGCCCGTAAATGCATGACGCTCGACGTTCGACAAAAAAAAAATCACCCACTCGGTTCTTTGACGAATTCGGTACTTTTTAAAATAAATAATTTACGTATAAAAGTATTTTCAAATGACATAAAATGCATAAAAATACATAAAATACATTTTAAAATACTTTATAAAAATGTACCTATAAATTATGGAATCGGTAAAAACATAATCCAATCAGAAAAACAGCCGTTTCGCTGTTGGAAACGACAAACACGCTGTGTGTGAACACGGAATAAGGCTAGGAAGTAGGATGGTTAACTGGTTACCTATGGGTTTGTCGGCTACGTATCCCACAGACAAAGGGAAGCAAAACTAGAATCGGCGTAACATTTTATGTCTATCGTCTACCTTGCCATGGGCAAAACGCCTGCGCTTGCTTTCAAATCCAGCTAAAGCGCTTACTTGGACGACAACAAACACATGCTAAATATCTCTGCGGGCTACGGCATGCTAACAGTTACGTCCAGTGAATGTTTTGGAAATGAAATAGGCTGCTGTTTTGAAGTCGTGCAATTCATTCAAACATGCAGTTAACATACTTGAGAGGGCTAGCAAAACTTTGAAACGTTATGCGGAATAAACCTTCAATGAAATTACAAATTACTCAGTTTTTTACCTCTCTCCCTAAACGTTACCTATACTTTCTAAACGAGGAGTAACGGTGAATCGCCAGCCTCTCTAGCTCCCGCTAGATCACAACAAGCGCATCTTTTCTGCCAACCACTTATCGGACAGAGAGCAAGTCAAAGGGGAACGACCTTCAACGACCCTGGGAGCGTATCCACCCACCACCCAAATAGACCCATGTCCATGATCCAAAGTCATACCGTTTCCCAAAACCGTCTATTCCCATCCCCAAACAATCTGTTTAAATCCCCCAAACCATGGGTATCCGTTCTCTGATCCGTCTATATCCCTTTCCCCGTCTGCTGTCATGCCCCCAACCCGTCTGTAGTCTCCCCCGACCTCCCCCTCCCCCCCCCCACACACACAGTCTGTATATCCATTCCCCACAATCCGTCTGTATCCGTTCCCCAACCCGTCTGTATCCGTTCCCCAACCCGTCTGTATCTGTTTCCCCAACCCGTCTGCATCCGTTTCCCCCGGCCCTATCTGTCTGTATCCGTGGTCCCTCGGCGGTGCCGGGCAGTGTACCTAAATGGCCTGTTTCCGCTCTGCTTGGCTCTGGCTCGCCTGCCCCCAGTGACCTATGCATGGCCTGACGCTGGAGCTTCAGCTAAGCTGCGCTATGAGCCGTGCTTTAGCTGTCTGCTGACAATTGGCTGTGAAAACGGCTTTATGTCCGAGTCAACGGCTGAATGCGCCTCCGTATTGCTTTCCACTTCACTATCAGAGCGCTATGTGCTAATGAGAAGGCTTATGCAACTGCATGCCGCAGCGTACTAACATGTAGCGTATTTGTAGGTTAGTTTCGATGCATTTAAATTGTGTCATTAGTCCACGGTCTACACTCTAAACGCATTGGTGGCTGGTTCGTTCATCGCTTATCGCATTGCCCCATTCTAAATGCAGTTCAATTATTCACATAATAATTTCATTTGTTAGAGCGGCTGCTTTAGGGAACGTTGCTATTGGTGTTTCCCAAAGCTTCTAGCAAGGGACAAAGCTCCTACGAATCACGACTGTATTCGTTCCATAATGAACGTTCAACTGGTATCCATAAGATATATGTAGCAATCTGACCGCGACAATATCCCTAAGGAAAGTTAAAACGTAGTTTCCCGGGCTCCGGTGGCCCAGATCTAAAACGGTTAAGACGTGACCCCGATCCGATCTGATCTCGCCCGGTCGTGGCGGCGACTGACGGCCGCGTACCCGCCCGCTGCTCTCAGGTCGGCTTCCTGACGGGCATCTGCATCCCGTGCTACGACCTGCTCTACCAGCTGATCCCCGAGACGCAGCTGCTGGTGGCCGGCTGCCGCAACAACCTGGCGCGCTGGATGGACATGGCCGAGGCCGGCGGCTGGCAGGAGGAGCTCAGTGCCGTCAACGCCCACGGCCGGTCCCGGCAGCCGGCGCTGACCTCGCCCGACCGGCCGGCCACCGGCCAGCCGCCGCCCGAGGAACAGGAGGGAGGACAGGAGGAAGGACAGGAGGAGGAGCAGCCTCCAGAGGACCAACCGCCGGAGGAGCAGTCGCCGGAGGAACAGCCGCCCGACGGCGCCAGCTAGAAGGCCGAGTTGGCCGGCTCTGGCGGATCAGAGGACCGGCAACGCGCGTCTGTCCCCGTTCAGGGGCAGGCAGGGCCCTCAGCCCATACTCAGACCCCTCCCCAGGGGCGAGCGGAACCCTTAGTCCACACTAAGGCACTCTGTGCCGCAGTGCCGGATCGGTGTGGCCAGTCTCACACAGAGACGAAAAACATTCGCGATGGTGGCGCAAATATGTAGATAGTGACGTCTGGTCTGTCATTGCGCCGCCGTACCTCTGTCGGATCGATCCTAACGCGAGCTACCACAGCCTCACGTTCCTGTACCCGTCCCAGGAGCGGCAGCACAGTGACACGGCTGAACGGATCAGCTACCGAGCGGGCCGCTGCGCTCGACTCGGCCCGAGCTCGGACTCGAAGTAAGTCACTCGCACACCACTGTACCCGCACCGGCGTGTCCCTCGCGCGCACCGGCGCGTTCCTCGCGCGCACGGGTGTCCGCTCTGTTTTCGCGCACGGACGACTGTTGTACATTTAGACGGAGAGGCCGGCCGTAGTCCAGGTTGCTCCGCGCCACCCTGCGGCCCGGTCCCATTGGCACGGCACGGATAGCGACTCGGCTCACTGGGAATGATGGCAGACGGAGCCCGATGGGTCCAGTCTGCCCCCAGTTCAGTCAGTTGACCGACCGTTCCGTGCCGCGCTGGACCGGGCCGCCAGGGTAGCGTAGAGCTCTGGCCGACACCGGGTGCCGTGCTCCCACGGCTGGACAAGGGCGCTCCCGCCCGGTGGCCGGTGTCAGAGCGCAAATACACCCGTGGAGAATGTGCGTGGGAGCGGCCGTGTATGTCTGTACAGATGCCAACCTGCCACACCGCGATGTCCCAGCCGCCCGTTGTCATGGCAACAGGGAAAACAAAGCGAACCGCTGGGGCGTGGCAGCACCCTGAGAGAAAGGTCAGCACGGATATATAGCTATTCATATGTATGTGTGCGAGAGGATAATACAATAAATAAGTGGAAGGATCGTCTGTTCATGGGCATTTAATCATTAATGCATTGTATGCATCTGGATGAGGGCTCAGTTTTCACGCCGTTACGGGGATAGGTGAACATTACGAATGTGCGCCCGACTGTCTTTATCACCAGGCCACGTATCGAGAAGCGACAATCGGCGCTCGAGAGTTCATCAAAAGTTATTTCGGAAGTACTTCAGCCATTTTGTTCGGTCAAAGGTCACTTCGTCGGAGGTCATTAAAAGTTTAAACTTTCCGCCGTTAGTAATTTGAAATTGGTCTTGCAACTCCTTTCACTAGATTAGCAAAGTAATAACATCGTGGGATACTCGTAAGTGTTAGAAAGCAATTGTATTTGACTGTTTCGTCATATTTGACCTCAGCTCAAGGTCATGACCATTGACCTTACTGGCTTCATTTTGCATATTAGCCAATTTGTTTGCTGAGAACAGTTCTACGACACCTTTCGAGTACCTAGAACTGTAATATGCATCAATAAAAAGATACTGCCGAAAAAAACTTAACGGCCTCTGATGGCATCGTGAGAGCCTCTCTTCGTTCCGAGAGTGGAGGCATGGTGACTTCACGATCACGTAAGGTCATCATGGTTAATTTCGCGCCATATACCATCACCATGCGTGTGTATTTATCGAGAGCGATCCAGGATAGTTTTTTTTTTAATTTTGCCCACAGCCGGCCACCTCGCTATGAGCCGTCCCCCAGCTGTAACTGAATGGCGGGATCACGAATATAGCCGCAGAATGAAGTCCGTCAGAGCTTCGGGTGATCATACAGCACACGAAATAATTAAAACAGGCTGAAGTGTCAAACCCTTGCGGACGGTGTCATACATATGGTGTGAGGCCTATGCCTAAATGTAGATGACGTTACCAGACCTTGGCAAACATTCTCATCATGTTGAACTGAGGATACGCCACGCGAATAGGGATAGCAATACCGAATCGCTAGCACATCCTTTTGTAGTGATTTAATTTTACGTGCAACATTTCCATAAAGGTTTCAAGTCCACACTCATTCTTTTCATATATTGCATTTGCATTTGTATTTACCTACATATTGCCTTTGACACGAGAATGAAGCACAACGTAACAAATATAAGCACCATCGGTGTTCTAAAAAATGTGTGGGTACGCGGCGCAACAGCCGAAATATCACAATCAATATGTCCATTAGACGTTTTAACATACGGTTCCTACGTAGGTACTCTGAACATAATGCTTATTAATAGTCATGAAACAGATTGATTCATAAAAAATCATACCACAGGACATGTCATTATGCGTAAAGAAAGAGTATAACTAAGACATCAATAAAATAGGAAATGAGCGATATCGTATACATGGCTTTCTTATAAAACGGCCCCTTGCACCTTTCAAAATGGCAATGCTGGTTTCTCTAGTTGAACACATAAATGAGGTCTTCCACTTTCCACGACATATCTAACCCTACAGTTGTCCGGACTCCCGAGGTATCATGATTCAGAGCGACGCCCGGCTATCCGGTTATGAAGTGGTCCCTGGCAGCGGATTTAGACCACTATCTGGTCTGGTCCCGTCCCATCAGCGGGACCCCTGGTGTGAGCCTCAGCTCGTCCCTAACATGGAACACCGACCTGATGTGGGCCCGAGCTCGCCCATATAAAGTAGCGGACCTGGCGTGGGTCCGGGCTCTGTTCTACCAGCGGACATTTGACACTTGAGCACACATTTGGCAGGTGGGCCCCAGCTCGTCCCAAGCAGCGGGAACCGACCAGCTAGTGGACCCGAGCTCTTCCCAGCCAGGGGAGGCCGACATGGTGTGAGCCCGAGTTTGTCTCTAGCGGCAGAGGCCGATCTCCCGAGGTCCCGGGCTCGTCCCAAGCATTGGAAACTGACCAGCAGAGGACCCGATCACCCCCCCCCCCCCATCAGCGGACGCTGACCTGGTGTGAGCCCGAGCTCGTCCCTAGCAGCGGACGCCCGCCAGTTCCCGCCGCGGTTCCCGGGGCTCGGCGTGGGCCACGAGGCTGTAGACGAGGGTGACACATCGCGCTGCCGAGGATCGCAGCTTGACGAACAGCAGACAGCGGTCCACCACCACGGCCACTTGCGACAGACCTGGGGGGACGGTCAGTCACGACATATGAACACGATGGAGGGCCAGTAATCATGCGTGGATGCCAGCTGAACAGAGGTCGGTCAGAATCCGAGAACTATTGATTGAAGTATTTCCGTAATAACTTGTTCACGAGGTCCCCACCGCCACATCTTACTTGTTGCTGCAGTGTCCACTGTCCAGGTCCCAGGAGCCGAACTAAAAGGGGTGCAAAAACTAGCCCGGCACCAGCAGCTAGTGCCTTCTATCCAAACGTCTGATAAAAGGAATACTGCTGTGGCATCTCACCTGCTCCGTTGAGCGGCATGCTGTAGTGCAGTGGCGTGTCCGAGGAGAGCGTCCACGTGCGCCGGTCATAGAGCAGCAGCCGCTGCAGCACCGCCGCGTCTCCGATCACCTCCTGGGGTACAGACAATTGCTTGTTAACTGGGGCATAGCGCGTCGACTTCTACAGTCTATAATGAGCCATTTAGTGCACAGACGAGAACTCAAACCGAACTGACAGATGGTACGGGGGAACGGACACTGCGAGGTGTTGGGAGAAAAGCGGTACGAGGCTGTAACCAATATTTCTTAGTAGAGGCAGCACTGTGAAAATATTAATGTGTCACGCTCTAGCAAACCGGGAGCCAGGATTCTTTAGAAAACGCGCGAAAGCGGAGATCCCAGACTCCACTCTAAAAGCAATTAACGTGAGCTAAATGCAATAAAGGAAATATGAGGTGCAGCCTGACATTAAATATCCCTTCATAAGGAAGCGCAGAGGACGCATAAGGCGGACGATTAGACGGATCCGACATTTGACGTAATTTGTTGCCCAATGAGCGGAAGGTAATGTTCTGCCTCATCGCCGCGCAGGCGGAATAAAAACGCAGCACACACGACAGTTGCCGCAGAGTCGCTAATGAGGGCGGCTTATTGCTTGGAGAAAGAAACAGAAAAAGGCGGTAGCGGAAGGGAGTGGGGAGGAGGAAGAGAGAAGAAGGAAGGGAGGGAGGGAGGGAAGGAGGATGAGAGAAGAGGAGAGACAAGGTGATAACTTAACCATGGACTGGAGCTTATTAACTGATCACTGCACTGACCCGATCCGCTAGATCCCTGCCCCAGCGACCAGCGCACCCCTCCGTTCCGTCTCCATGTGCAGTGCCGCCCCTCGTGCTTACCTCTACCACGACCACGACGAGCAGCTCGAGCTCGTCCTCGATATCCCAGGCGAGCCACCAGTCGGAGGCGAGGAGAACCAGGGGAGCCGACCGCCGCATCCGCACCCGGCGGCCTGAGAACCCCAGCGGGTGAACACGCAGTGAGCGGGACTGTCTCCCCACTCGGCGCCTACAGCCAGTTCGTCACATCACAGGGGCACCCAGCGTCAACTCACACCGGTTAGAGGAGCTGTGTGACCAGGAGAGGTGCCCTGCAGCCGATCAATCATAACCAATGTGAGTGTATTTTTGATTCCATCGATTTATGCATGGGAGCCTGGCAAATGTAGCTCTCACCAACACGGGCGCGGCTACGGTGGCGGCCTGTTTACGTGACTCAGCAGCTGCGAGTCTCGTGCCAGGTGACTCGCATTTGGCACTCGCTGGTGTATCGCTAACAAAGGCATATTGTTTGTAAACAGCTGACGAAGTAGCCACGTCAAGACGTACCGTGATAACAATGTTCACGGTAAAATGGTATTTGTGCATTGACATTTACTTTAGTGAAAGACGGAAGTATTTTCATAGTCATTCTTGGTGAAAATACCTTCACATGCAAAAGTGAATACTTTCTCTTGCAGCCAAAGCCTGACATTGAAAAGGCAGCATTTATCGCCTTTGAGTCGGATATTGTCTGTCATACAACTAGGTCGTAATACTTCCGTAGGTACAGCCCACCGCTAAAGTAATGTGTGGTTATACCAATCTCAACGGATGGCTTTGACTGACGATTTTCAAATGCAGACTGATTGAAAAGAAGACGTCAATAGATAACATTGTAGCTGCAAGGGTGAAGACACATGTAAACTACATTCAAAGTCTCGTTGCAGTCTGGCTAATCGTTCCTAAGCTTCAGAAGCAGAACATATCCATGACTGAAACCGCACATTACTTCTGGTGTAGACTGTACTTTTCTATGTAAGATCACGACCGCATTCAGCTTGGTTGGCATTTTTACCACTACCGAAAAAGAGAATACAAAGGATACCTCTTATAAGCAGGCTGCTGCCATCGGCGGGAATCAGTAATCACCGAACGGTCTAACTTCCCTACCAGAACGTGTGGCGCCCCCTCAGACACCTGAGCGCCACCTGCCTGGCCTCGCTAGCGTACGAGGTCCGCTCTGGACGAGATGACCGCTCCCCTAACCAGCCACTCCTCTTTGTGAGGCGTCTCCGATGCTGAGCGATCACTTCCCTGTCAGCTCTCATGTGCTCATGAACTATCTTTTGAATATGCCCGCTTCACACTTCTCAGGTGAGCCGAGCTTTTAGTACGGGCGGTCAGGTTTTGTGCGGAACTGATCGCACAGTAACCGGCGGGGACTCACTCCTGCCGGGTGTGTCTGCTCCCGGGCAGCGTGACCTTACCTGACCGGGTGGTGACGGGCCCACGCTCCACCGGCGGCTCAGGAACGGAGAGCCGACCGGCGTCCACCCGCAGCACCTCGTGGCCGCAGGTCAGGTCAAACACCCTGCGAATGAAACGGACAGGGAGGTCAGGTCAAACGCCCTGTAAGAGGACAGGACGGGGGGGGGGGGGCCAGGTCAGAGGCCGTAAGAGTGGCCCGGTCAGGACAGGAAAAGTATCAGCGCTTATCGTCCGTCGTTAGTTATGAAAGATCCATAAAAAACGACAAAGGTAAGGTCCTTTTCCCCGTGGTCTGATCGGCTCAGTGGTGGAGCCACTTCATTATCAGCTACAATCGTACCTTTCGGATCTCATTAGCTCACCTAGTGATCTGTCTGTGATCTCACCTAAGCTCAGCAGTGCTGTGCTGTACGAGGTACGGGCCGTCGTCGACAAACGTGGCCGCCTCTGATGACAGTCCGGGCCGGAGTGGACCACAGGTCAGCACCCGAGCGCCGTCCGAGAGGCGCGTCACCTGCGGGCACGAGGACGGACCGGGGTAGGTCACCAGTCTGTGGACCCTAACAGTCATAGCAGGAACATACGCTGATCGCATAGTGTTCAAGTTCCGCAGGCACAGAACCTCAATAGGGTAATGCTAGATTGATTTGCCTCAATGCCAGGTTTCACGTCTCAGTGGCAGTTCCTTTGTTCAGGCAAATCGTTAGAGTTATTTGCTAAGGAGACACGGAACTTGTCATCGAGGACAAGAAAACCTAGCAGCGACACATAGTCTGCTGCTGACTGCTGTGACAAAGAATGGCTGTTGCGTTACGTAACCCCTCCGACTCCCAGCCACTTCCCCATTTAAGGCAGCCGGCCGGCTCAGTACGGACCTCGAAGCCGTCAGCTGCCTTTCGGCGGCTGACGAGGTGGTGGGGGGAGCCGCCCAGCTCCAGATAGCCCTGATGTGCGGCGAACACGGCCACGGGCGCAGCGTCGCCCGTCAGCTGACCGTTGGTCGGTACACCGTCCCCCGTGCCGCCGACAACCAGCGGCCGGCCGTCCGCGATCACGTGATCCCCCAAACCGGCCGCCGGACTGCGCTCCTGTCACAAACACACATTGGAAATTACCACGGTCAACATCCCAGCACCGGTTATATACACACAGACAACCGGTCTACACGGACATTATGCTGAGTAGACATTACCCAGTCAACAGTAGAGCGAATAGCAACACCGACTACAAAACTGACGAAAGTCTGATGATAACAAGACCTTATATAATGGCAGATCGGCATAGGTCCGGCTCACGCTATCTGGTAATAAAGAGTTAAATATAGAGCCCGCTTCATCATTCCACTGTCTGCTCAGCAAGTGATCACTGACCACTGAGCAGCTGCAATGGTCGTGATCCATCGACCCTTTACGGAGGAGCTCACCTCCAAAATCTTATCGATGCTGTACAGGTAGACGACTCCTCGCGATCGTGAGGTGAGCATAACCACGCCCTCGCCGACAGTGGCGGAGTCGGCGTGCGGAAACTCTTTCCGTAATACCTGCCACCAAGAACAAAGCCAAAACAGCGGAATGCAGGTCAAGGGATAATCATGTAATTGTGTAGTACATACGGAAGGTCGTATTTAGATTGACTTTCAATCAATGATCTGCCGAGTGTCGGTATAGCTTACGAGCATTCCAATCGGATATATTAAGACCATTAAACTAGTTTCTACAAAATATTTAAATAGACACTCTGTACTCTGAAGGGTGCCATCACTGTAGTGTGACGTGACAATCTAGAAGGGTTCACTCCGAGATCAGTGACGGTACGGCGCAGGACCACCGGACCGCCGACCGCTCTCACCTGAAATCGGACCAGGAACTGGACCGGCTGGATGCTGAAGATGATGACGGACACCAGCGCTTCGACCGTCTGCACGGACGTGATCACCAGTCTGCCGGAGACGAGGGTGTCAGAGATCGGACAGCTACTCCCGCACAGTGCATCATTGCCAGTAAACGTCCGAATAACGTCTACTAGCTACGTCGACTGGCGTCTGACCAACGTCCGGTAACATCTGCAAATATTCGGCCAAGAGCTACCGTCTATCCAGCATTCAGTCAAAGTCTGCTGAATGAACATACAACGTCCGTCAAATCCGTCAGTCCGACATTCCCGTTCGGTAACTGTCGGGCTCGGGGCTGACGCCTGTTCAAAATCAGATCATGGCCTCTTCCATTTACGTAGGTTCCGGTCACATCGGGTTAGTGGCAGGCTGTGACAGCAGTCAGGGCGGAGAACGGAAACTACAAATTTAGCACCAACACATAATTTACGCACGTGACAGTAACATGACTTCAACACGGTCTTTTCATCCCTCATCCGAAAACGATACTGGATTTTCACCTTTAAACCCCGTCTCATCCCTCGGCACTCACTCATTCCTCTCCAAGTCGTGGTGGATGTACTTGAAGGCCGGATGGCCGGCCGGTCGACCAGAGCCGGCCCCCATCTGGGTCGCGGAGGTGAGGGTGACACGTCGCTCCACGCGCCGTGACACCACATCCACCACCTCGAGGTCGGTGCCGTCGGGCCGCACCAGCACCGAGAACGCCTGCGGACGGCAGGCTGTCGGCACGGGACGACGGACGTCAGAGAGCGTAGGTGTGTGGACAGTCGGTGAAGTTGAGACCAATATTTGGAGCCTGATGATACGAGGGGCGTTCAAAAAGTTCTCGGCCCGACCATGAAGGAGCAGAGATACGACGTCGACTTATTAGACCAAAAATGTTCATTTAGTCAAATAACCAGCGTTAAGACAAAAACATTTCGCGCAGCGCTTCGCGAGAGGCCCCTGGGTCTCCATAGCCAAGTGGGTTTTGGACGCATCTGGCACGTCCAAGACGGCTGCTTTTGTCTCCTTGCTGTCAGCGAAGTTGCCACTGCTAAGCAATTTCCTTATGTTGGGGAAGAGGTGGCAACCTGAGGGTGCAAGGTACGGAGAAAAAAGTGGCTGTGACAACAACTCGAAGCCACAGCTCACTGCTTCGCTGATCGTCACCCTGCTCATGTGTGCTGGTGCGTGGTCCTGGATCAGGCGCACACTTTTAGTCAGCTTCCCTAGTCTCTCCTTGATATCTGCTGCTCGCTACTGTTATCGAAGGGAAGTGTAGTATTCATCATCAATTGTGCGCCCCTGTTTTAGAAAGTTGACGAGCAGGGCCCCGCCAGCATCCCAAAATGCAACCACTGTCACCTTGCCGTCTGACTTAAACACGTCGCACACATTTGGTGGCCTTTACTCAGTGTGCTTCCACTTGTGCAACGCGGTCACGCCCTTAGGGTCAACGTGTGACACCCACAATCCCTCCACGGTAACAAGTAGTTCAATGAACTCTTTTGGATCTTCGATATAAGGGCCAAAATTTTCGCGTTACGCCTCCTTTCGAGTTTGCCTTTCCCCTGGAGTCAGCAAACGGGGATGCATCTTGCAGAGATCTTTAACATATTAATACGCTGTCGAAGAATGGCTTTGAGGAACCTGATAGACACCTCCGCTTCTGCTGCGTTGTTCCAGACCAGAACATTTGCCATTTTTCACAAAGAAGTGCTTATTTTTCACATTTTCTTGAGTCAATGCTGTTGATGGCTGGCCACTGCGGGGGTGACCATTAATGATCTGTTGACCAAAATTGAACAGAGATGCCCACTTTTTGACGCTACTGTAAGAAAGACAAACCTCAACATGTGTTGGCACTAGGTTTTCGTGAATAACGTTTGGTGCATTTTTCTGCAATACATGAACCAAATCACTGTTCTCTTCTGGGCGTCGCCCATTCTGACCGAGAATGGCAAACTATGTTACGATTAATTAGCAGCCTGAACCAATCATAGGGCAGATTGGTTAATGGCTACGTAAGTGGACATCCCAATAACACATCATTGAACACACCGCGTTGCAGGCCGAAATTCCAACTCCTTCATGGTTGGGCCGGGAACTTTTTGAACGCCCCTCGTAGACCTGAGGTAATTAGCGAGGGTCAAGTCCCGGCGGGCGGTAGGCGGAGGCGGACGGACGGCACATAACTAGACGCATTGGAGCTGCTCCATGACTCATGCTCCATAGGAGCATGAGTCCATAGGAGCATGAGTCGGAATATAACCCACCGTGGTACGGGTGAGGCCGCTCCACCAGCGCCGTGCACCGGTCGTCCTTTCGCGACAGTTCCGTGAAGAACGGCTGGAACGAGCCGGGCTGGTCCAGGGGCCCGAACGCCGGCGCCACTAGCACTGTGGGAGCACGGCGTAGCATCAGTGCCGTGCCGTCAGCGCCGTACCGTCAGTGCATTAACGAAGTGGTGTCAGCAGAACGCATAGCAAAATAAATTATCCGAACTGAAGCGCGTTCCGCATTCACAGCTTAGAGGAACCCATGGCGGTCATCGATCTTGCACAACAATGAATCGCATCAACAAACAACAAACACCCCTAAGGCAGATCGATAATTGTCCGCTTTTCGGAGACGGGAGAGGAGACTGACCGCGTTTCTCGGCAGGCCGGTGCAGGTACACCCGGTCAACGTTGTACTCGGAGTCGGCGGCGTCCGTGCGGGCCAGGTGACGGCGCAGCTGGCGACGGCCGGTGGCTGCGCACGCGGAGCGCACCGCCAGACAGGCCGAGCGGTACGGCTCGCGGCCCAGGCCGAGCTCCCGGCGCGCCAGACAGCACGGCGTCGGCGGCGGGGCCACCCAGCAGGTCCGCGGGGCCCAGCGGCGGGCGGCCGGGGCGGAGCCGGCCCCGTCACCGGACATGGACTGAAACGGAGCAGGCAGTCAGCCAGAAATAAGATTAATGGCGTCCCTACTGATAGGGCCAGGGATGCATGAAGGTAGAGTCCAGTACTGGTGTAGCACGCTACATCTTGAACATTTAACGTAGTATCTTTTCGGCACGGCTCGGTCCGGCAGCCCCTCTCCCTCGCAGTCCGGCCACACGCCTAGCCTCGCTTTCCCACACCCAATTTCCCCCCCCCCCCCCCCCAGTTCCCCTAATCTATCACTGTCCGCACAGAATGGGCAGCCGTTAAACTCCCATTAAGACGCGCGCTTTTGGAGACAGCTACCGCAGGATGAACGATTCGAACCCCAACAAGTAACAGCTGGATCAGTAACATTGTCAACAGCTCGTGGACCCACACCGAGGACAGATAACGGCTGGGAGCGCTGGATCAGTAAGATATGCCAACAGATCATGGAGCAGTGTCAAGGATGGATGCCGGCTGGAGCACAGAGCCTCCTTTGTCGGGCACAGCAACCCAGGGTGAGTGACCCTGGCAAAACAACCGGGTGACCGACCTCACAATGGCCTCATGAGGTAGTTCCAGAGATCTCCGCAGAGGAAGAAGGCGCTGACTTACGGCCACACCCGGTACAGTGGGCGGAGCAAGAGTGACGTCACAAGGGGCGTTGGCGGCAGACGAAACGGAAGGAAACAAAAGTTTGAATAAAATGAAATTGAAGAATCAAAATTAAAACTCGAAAATCACAAACCTTTCGGGGATTGTTTTATGCCAGCGATTATTTACGTATAAAGCACTCAACACGAAGACGATTCGACGGCCAAAAATTGCAGGCACAGAGGAGTAAGGTGACAACAGGATAGAGGGCGCCATCTTACGGACCCACCCACCAGAGGAAGGCAGAGGAAGATGACGGCGCAAGGGCGTGGCAGTCACCCCCTCCCCCCAACTATAAAAGGGTGCGCCACCCAGCCAGGAGGGTCACAGTCGAGCAGCCGAGGGTCACAGTCGAGCAGCCGAGAGTCACAGTCTGCAGCCGGAGCCGGAGACGACATCTGGAGGCCGCCGTCAGTCCGGGGTCACCCACAAGAAGCCTCTTCAGTTCGAGCGACCAGAACCGAGGACAGCAGTCGACGCTTGAGACCACACTGAGAAGCGGAAGCGCAGAGAAACTCCAGAATGTGAGTGTTGTTGAAAAGTCTGCTCAATCCCAATCCTTGAACCCCCCCCCCCCCTTCTGCCCGGTTGCCGTGCCAGTGACGACTGCCAAACATTTTTGGTTGCCATAAAATGCACTCTCAATTGGAATTGGAAAACTTAAATTACTTTGAACTTATTGGTCCAGACACCCTAGTAGCACATTAGGATCTGAATTTCGAAGTCATGTCAGAGCCGCCAGTAAATACGTTATTGTCAGTTGGAGTGCGGGATACATCGCGATTAGGTCGAGAACGGGATGCTAAAATTTGAATAAGCAGCTCAGTGTCACGAACGCTGAAATCGATGACCGGATGCGTAACAGCGTTGAAACGTCTTTGTCTTTGGTCAAACTGGTTCGTTTGATTTATTATCGGCAGTGGCCAGGCGCAATTTGAGGTTAGAACGTTTGTGAAATTAAGGGTTTAGATTCGTACGGTACTCACTAAAAGCTGCATTGCGAAATCATTGGTAATATGACTGTAGGAATTAATTGCGAAGTCGAAATCAATTGTAGAACAGGTAAATACGGTTGAAAAGGAATGTACTATTTTAAGGTGGCGACTGATTCATGCAATCGATCTATGAATATGGCTATGAGTTATGATTTTCGACAGATACGAATGCTTGAGCTTACGGCGGAATTTCTTCTGTTACTTAGGTGCAGAGTTGAGAGTAGTGGTTTGAGGTCGACGGTTTGACACTTTGCGACTTTAGATGGTCCTTGTACTTACCGTCAGTGAAATTGCGAAATGTCGTGTAACAGGTAGCTGTAGAATTGTTTGTGGTTAGAACTAATATGCGACTAATATAGGTACCGATCGCTGTGCTTCTGTAGAATAAATACTAGAAAGGACCATCTTTGTTGGGGAACGATTAAAGGGGACAGGAATTTCATAGAAAAAAAAACTTACGTGGAATGGAGCTGATGAGATGTCGAACAGGGAGATATTGCAGCGATATTTTACCAGATTCACACTCACTGACACATTCGTTGAATCTACCCGGCCCGGAGAGACCGCACACACCAGTACTGCACCGCGAGTGATGACGCGCCCATCGCGGCGCGGCCTTGACAACTGTCGACTGTCGACGCGGCGCCGGCCGGCGCCGCGGTAATCATCGTTCGCGACGCGGGACCGTGCGCCGCTAGATGGCACACGAGAGCAGCGTCGGGAGTGGAGCAGCGGCCACAGTAGGGCAGTGGGCTAACCGTAATTGGGGCGCGTGCGGTAGGTGAAGGTCATTGTATAGGAGCATGGTTAGTTGTGGAAAGTTGCAACGGGATAAGAACGTAAACAGTTAATGCATAATTTTAAATATGACATGCTATTTGATATTTAGGACTGCACTTCGTTTGATGTGCATTGTTTACTGCTAATAGGATGATTTAAATTATATTTTCTATGAAAGGCTAGGGACCCCTATGACAATATTCTGGCACTCTATAAAGATAATTTGTATAGGTAACTAGTAGCCCATCAGAAGCTATCGAACGAGTTTCAAGGAGTCATTTCCGTTGAGCATTCAGTAATTCACTATGATACGGTGGATCACAACCAGACGACAGATAGGTGCGTACTAATTGGTTCTAGATCATCTGATTAAATCAAGAGCGGTTCAAGGTCTGCTAGGAGTGTATACGAGAACTGATGATTAGGTTCACGCGTACAGCAGCAATTAGGACTTGAGATTACGATTTGGTTTGGATAAATAATGCGTTTTTGTTCTTCGCGTTCTTGCGAGTTAGCGCCAATGATTACTCCACCAATATTGGCACAGGGCATTGTGAGGCACAGACGGCTTGTTTGCCCGTCTCCTATGGCGTAACGTTTACCAGCATGACTGTATGAGACACAGATGCACTTCTCTAAACCCACGTCCAGACCGGAATAATAAGAGGGACACACCGTCACGTACGCAGGGCATATGCACGTTTTCCGCCAGTGGTACCGGCCACTGTTAATTTCCCGCCTAGGTAATACTGGGTAACGAGGCAGTGAGAGGTTTCTATGGCAGAGGAAAGGAGAAGACTGGTACAGTGCAGTCGGAGAGTAAGTTGGAGCTATGCCAAAGGTAAGAAGCCGAAGGTCAGGGGTGAGTCACCCAAAGGGCGGATAAGGCAAGCTGTAGTGTCCCGAATAAGTCCTCATACTTATTTTGTAAGGGTACCTTAATCGGTACTGGACAGCCTCAGGGGAGGTAACGATGTACTCCAGGACACGTAAGGCCTTGAAAGTAAATCCCAGGGTTTAAGGAGAGTTCCTGAGGAGAGTTCCAGGATATGAACGGTGGTCCCTGGGTCGTGAACGGAGGTGCTACACGTGGACCGGAAGAGGGCATAGGTAATCTCTCCCGGATAGAGAGATAAGTCGGATGTAAATCGCGTATATGTGTACCATAAGTCTATCGGACGTGTAGTGAATCCCATAAATTGGTAGGGTGGATATTTCTGTAATTACTCTGGACGGCCCTGCGATAAGTATCTTTGTCGCCGGTTAGCGGAGCATGCATAAGGATTTCGTAAAGAGACATTTATCTCGCCGGGGAGATCGCTATTAGTCCGGCACCTAACACCATCGGAGGGAATTTGAGGGGCGCTAAATAAATTTGGGTGAATATATGACGAACGAATGTAGAGAGAGGATGAGAGTGAGAATGGTAAAGGATGAATCTTAGGATAAGGCCGATGGGAGTTTAGCGAAGCTCAGTTAGGACAGTCAAACTAATGACCCTCGAAGGCAACTAAACTATAGCAACGCTAATACGAATTAAGTGGGCAATTTTCGTAATGGGGAGGCCAGTGATATAGGAATGGGTGACTGGACAAATGATCACATTCAATTAATCAATGTAATTACCACCCATAAGTTTGGCAGTGGTCATCGGGACTTCGAATGCCCTGTCCTTCACCTGCCCGTCTGTGCCGCAAACCCAGCTGATCGGATCCCGTCATCCCTAATCCGAGCAGTGAAGAAGCATCTCGTGCATCATGGTCTATACAATGAACAGAATCATCAAGCCTCTAAATCAAAAAGCATCTTCCATCAGATGTATTTGTATGCAAGGAGGATCTATATCTAAATCTCCATCTCAGGATCTAATCTCCATCTCAGGATATCTAGATCTCTCTCGGGATCTTTTCCAAGACTCTCAAGCTCCCCTGTTCTACCAGCTTTACTATCGAGGATCTCCCAGCAGCAATTTGCTCTCTCTCTTCTGCTACAACCAGCCGAACGACAGTGGACCGCGGTGTTTGAGGAACAGAAAAGATGAAGCTTTTTATTCTTATTCTTCCCTTTTCTAATTTCCCTTGCTACACTGGCAATATATCGGCCATTCTGCCAAAACACTTATCATCACACTAGTAAACCTTATACCGCTTCACTCTGGATACGAAATGAATGACATCGATAAAACTGCACACTGTATGAATGAGTATCGCATCGGGGTTGAGCGTCCTTTTTGGAAATGGGTATATTGAAAGTTTCTTCCTATGAAGAGACACACGAAGGTTGGAAAAAACATCGACCATTCCACCCCACCATTCATCAGTCTCGGCACGACCAAATCGTTTAAGTGTTGAAGTACGGGCGACTGTGCTGAGGACCGCACTGCACTCCGAAGCCTTTTACTATGACATTTTATGAGGTCGGCACGCCCAATAGTTCGAAATTAATCAGGAAACGCACAGTGCACATGAAACTGCTCCGTATGATTCACGAGTACCCATTTTCTGCAGCACCAGTCATCAGGCTCACAAAGCATGTTGCTGCAGCTCAGCCGAGCTGCGCTGCAGCGAAAGTAAGCCACATTCCA